GTCGAAGCTCGACCACGCCCACATTACTTTCGTCGGGGAGATCTGACCCTCGTCGGGGGAACCGGCCCCTTGGTCGGGGACCTCGGCCCCCGTCGGGCAAATCCTGGCGCCACCCCTGTTTTTGCAAACGTTTAAACAAGTTTATTACATGTTTTTTGATGGTTGCATATAAATGTTTAACTATGACGAAGATTTTGCTAAAATCGAATTAAATTCATTAAGTGACCGTTAATTACAATGGATGTTACTAGCTTTCGTTTATATAATAGGTCAATCGAAAGCAGATACGTACGTTTATAAATAATTATCTCATTGATTTTTACGCATAAATAAGTTCTACGAAACTATAGGAATACAAAGACCTTGGTAAAGAACCAGCTATCTATCCAGCTCAACATGCAGCACACTGCCAATAGACCGAATTAGCGACGAAATATGACGTCATCACAATTTGGCCGAGTGTGTATAAAATTGTAAACAAAGCCTAAAAGTCCGAATAACGTTGCGAGTTTTTGTACGGTCCATGAAAACAAGAAGAAAAAAAAACCACCAAAGTACGCCATTAAAATACTTTTTAAAATATTGGTAGGTAAAGGAAGGTTCATAGAACCATCAGAAGACGTTTGATTTGATTTAAAATTAAGTTAAATATACGTAGAGTTTTTACAGGCTAGGCCTCGGCCCCTGACACTTGTTGCACGACAACGCGACATGGCTGGATGTGATGATTGAGTGAGGCCTGACTGTAAACGTTCAGCTCCGTTCTGTCGTCAAGTCTTTTACTTCTTTAAACATCCAGTCTGCCAAAGTTATTGGTGTGAATTTAGGAACATTATTCAACAATTTTGAATAACTTAGCTCTCCTTGAAATCTACAAGTACAACACATTTCATGAGTTTTGCAACAACATTCATCGACCGACGCCATGATTCATTGTGAGTGAATACACGGCTGCCGTCGTCGTGCTGTATTACACAGGCAGACACGACCAATGTACGTTTTATTCCCAAAACAGTACGATTTATTCTCGTTTTATTTCACATTTGGCATACACAATCGTAGAGAAAAGATGACGTTACATTCATAAGCATGTAACAATGGTTTCTGTAAATTTAAATCACGCTCAACTTTGCACACAAAGCGTGTATGAGCAGTGGCGTAGAAAAGTATTTTTCATTGGGGAGGGGAGATGATTGGCGTGTTAGCCAGTGTTGTAACAGGTGCGGGGGGGGGGGGGGCGGGGGAAAAAGATGGCAGGGGGAAAACTACCCCTCCCCTGACGGTTTTTACCGGGCTGACCCAGGCTGGGTAATAAGAGAAAAGAAAGAGGGGAGAGAGAGGGAAAGAGAAAGAAGAGGAAGAAAAGAAAAGAAAAAGAGAAGAGAAAAATAAAGACAAGAATAAAAAGGAAGATATTACAATTACCAGACTCACAACTCCTTGCAACCCTTCTCCACTTCAAAAACTGTCATAACTCCTTTGATCTATGCTGCCCGATGGCGTAACCACTGGGGGACAAGGAGAAAATATCTTTCTTCCCCTGAAAGTGCCTAAAAACCTCAAATTTCGCGCGCATTTCTTGTTAACATTTGCCAATTTCCTCTAAAAATTGCACATTTTAGGGTGTTTTGATCAATTCCAACGAAATTAGAATTAAAAACACCGGGAGACAAGGGGAAAATATCCATCTTTGGAAAATCTTTCCCCACCCCTTGACAAATGCATCCTCTGAAAGTGCCAAAAATTCTCAAATTCTTTGCGCTCATGTCTTGTTACGGTAGGCCAATTTCCTCTATAAATTGCACATTTTAGGGAGTTTTCATCAATTCCGACGAAATTAGAATTAAAAACACAAAAATATTTTGCGCAAACACATAATAGTCCCAAACTCAAGAAAGACAAATTTAAGATAGATC